TTGTAGCGCCACGTCGCCATTTATATTGCGAAAAAAAGATACCACAGGTAGTGATGTCGCCATTTTAAAAATGGTATATTTACAAGTACGTGCAGAAGTTCCTGGAATCTTATACTTTAAAATTAACTTTGATGACCCTGATTTTCAATCAATCGATTTAATTCGGTCGGGAAGGAGAGCAACATTTCCTGCGGAAATTCCAAATTTAAGATTTGCAGCCAATCCTTTAGTTTTAAAAAAATATAAGCATCTTCAGACATCGTTAAAGTGGGTACCAAAACAATTTCATCAATTTTACCAAAACTTAAAGCATGCTAATGATAATGAACATCATGTATCAGATTAAAACGAAAATTAGTCAAGATTTTTCATTATGTACCTACTTAAAGTTAGGACCAATAATGTATTTTTTTTATAATTGCGTTACAGGAATGTTACTAGTCTTAGTTTATTTAGAATCCTAATTTTGTTGGAAACAAAATATGTTCAATCTGATGTTGAAATAAAATAAATTGTATCTTTAAAAATATTACTGTATTTTTCTAGTTTTATAATAAAAGGTTTAATTTCCTATACCATCCTATGTATACCCTGATATTAAGTCCTATCGGTTCCTTTAATATTATAATAAAATAATATTAAGTCCATAACTAATAATTTACTCCAAAAATCACAAAAATACATTTTAGCCAAAAACTAATTAATTATTTATTAGATAATAGGGAATACTTATCGTAGCACAATTATTAATTTTGTAATATAAAAACTTCCATTGGTAACCAGCTTTAATCACAAAAAAAAAGTTTAAGTCGCTTTCCCCAAAATATTTTAATTTGGACTTGGTACACTTTTATCCTGGGGTACAGAAATGGGTATTGACCTTAGATTATACAAACCTTAGATGGAACATAAGACACTGCGCATAATCCCATTTCGAAATTATTCACACCCACCAATCACAGTTGAGAACATCACATGTCAGAGGGTTGTCCATCCAAATTTAATATGTCAACGAGAATTAATTTGGTATTTTAGTGACTTAAATTTTGGAAATTAACGTTGAAAATGCCAAGATGTGTTGTAAAAAGCTTTATTTATAATAAACCTGCGAAATGTGACGGATATAAAAGAAACTTACATTTATTTCGGTGAGATATTTAATTTTTAAGAATTCTGTCGACGTCCATATTTGTTGATTTGAAAATAAACAGAATCGGACTTGGTCATTGGTACATGTTATAAGCAGCAAATAAAGGTTATTCTTATAAACGGTTTACAATTTCTTGTTCCATGGGGAATCTTTATTTGGGGAGTGGAAAGAGAAACATACAATCAAATACAAAAATATCAATTTCATTGCCAATTTATTCGTTTTAAACTTCATAACTGGGTTCAATAGTTTTCTCAAAACTATTTATTTCGTATTTCTCTATAACAGTGTCACTCAAAGTATGCTCCGCGGAGCCCTGGGGCTCCGCAAAGCCTTTGTTAGGGCTCCGCGAAGAAAATAATCATAATAAAAAAAACAGTACTATCGCCACAAAATGGAGGGACCTGTCTTGAGGACTTTTTTTGAAAAGTAATTTTTTTAAGTCACTAAGAGGAAGGAGGATATGATTTTGCTTTAGGACTTTTTTTTATTTAATTTTTTTATGGGTGAAATGAATTTGGGATAATTCTTGCAAGGAATCTTTGGAATTAATCAAAAATAAATTAACAACATTTTCAGCCTGAGTTGTCGATTAAATTATTCGTAGATGCATCAAATGTGGGAATAAGGGCCATGATATGTCATGTTTTTGAAAAAAATATTGTGAAATCTATAGCTTCTGCTTCGCGTACCTTATCAAAGTCCGAACAAAAATATTCTCAAATTGAAAGAGAGGCCCTTGCAATTTTTTTTGGCTTAAATAAATTTAATGAATATTTATATGGACATTTATTTATCCTAGTTACAGATCACTTACCTCTGGTAACTATTTTTAACCCAGCTAAATGTATACTCCAATTTTCAGCCAACATATTACGTAGATGGGCAATAATATTGTCAAATTACAATTCTAAAATTGAATATGGAAATTGGAGCATAATACAAAACCCATTTTTTTATCACGTTTACCTATTGAAAGTCAAAATGAGAGTCAAAATAAAGAAAAATTTTAAATAAATTTTTTAAATTGTGTTTTATGTGTTTAGGGCTCCGTCAAATATTTCGCTTTTCAAAAAGGTAAAAAGAGTAATCGAAAAATCTAAAAATCGAAAAATAAAAAATCGCAAAATCCAAAAATCCAAAAAACGAAAAATCGAAAAACCAAATATCGAAAAAAAAGGCAATGAATAGTAACATTTCACATTTGAAAATATGACATTACGTTTAACAACAACAAAAAAAAAAAAGAAAAGCTGTAAATTGGGTTTTATTTTTTAAATAACACCGTTATTGAAAACAGCCCAGAAATGTTGGGGGTAAAATTTTGACGTACTCCTTTAAGGATAATGAGTAAAAATGTTTTTTTTTCAAATTTCTCGTGGGTAATGTCAAAAATTAGATCAGCAACACTGCACATGTCCCTTATTTTTATTATTACTATTGAAAAAAAAAAAAAAAAAACGTCGTAGGGCAATCAAATAAATACAACAATTTTCTGAAATATTTGATTAGAAGTACCTACAAAAGAATGATGGTGAATCATTTTTCAACACAATTTTATAAATAATCAAGTCAAAATTGGAAAAAATCTTGTATGTAAACACCTTACGAAATGCCGTTTTGTGTAGCTCGTTTATTTTGCGGGACCTCGCTCCGCTCGTTCCGCAAATATTTACTCGTTACACAAAATAAGGTATTTCGTAACTGGTTACATAAATAGCTATTAATTGACTTCCTAATATTTTAATTCATTAAACGGTATTTTCCGTAAACAATTAAATCATAAATAATTACCGGCATATAGGGGGGGGGTGGGTTGGCTCAGTGGTTAGAGTCATGACTTTGAGATCGGAAGGTCTCAGGATCAAATCCCACCGTTGGCCGGGATTTTTTCATTTAATTTAATTATTTAAGATTAATTCTGATGCCTTGGTAGGATTCCCCACTCGACCATTCACTGTTGGGTTCTATTAACAGTGCTGTTCATAAAGTGGCGCTGGGAAACAGTAACAAAGCCTACACAGAACACGAGGCTAATGGCCGTAGTAGTGGACGCCAAAGACACCAAATTAAAAAAAAAATAAATTGCCGGCATATAAGTACCAAAACATTTTTTCTCTTCGAAGAGTAGGCCTATGTCAAATAAACTTAAAATATTATAACGAACGGAAAGGTAACCCATTTCTAATAAAATTTAATTCTTTACTTTGTTTTGGTGTGATCGTAGAAACAAATCTTGTGTGTAATTCGAGCAAAAAGTACTTTGGCTATTTCGATAACTTTTTGTCTCAACAGATATTTTGTTACAATAATTTTATAAACTTTTACTTAGGGTCGATTTCACCGTTTCGTTAAACGAAGTTTAAATTACCAAACGAAGATTAAAATGACATTTTTATATTAACAAAAACGAAATTTAAATTACTAAATGGAGTTTAAAATGACATTTTTACATTAACAATGTCATTTTAATCTTCGTTTAATAATATATTGTAGGGTGGGTTGGCTCAGTGGTTAGAGTCATGACTTTGAGATCGGAAGGTCTCAGGTTCGAATCCCACCGTTGGCCGGAATTTTTTCATTTAATTTAATTATTTAAAATTAATTCTGATGCCTTGGTAGGATTCCCCACTCGACCATTCACTGTTGGGTTCTAATTAACAGTGCTGTTTCTAAAGTGGCGCCGGGAAACAGTAACAAAGCCTACACAGAACACGAGGCGAAATAACCTTAGTAGTTGAAGTCGATGACACACCAAAAAAAAAAAATATATTGTATATTAATAAAGTGTTATTGCCCTCATCATAAATGAATCGTGCTAACAAATAAAGTAAAAAAAACGTCTCGTAATTTTTCATCTTTTAGTTACCTACCAAAATTAGATACTACAATACAAATATTTAAGTCCGGCCCAGAACATCTCCCTACTCCTTCCACCCAGTTTTTCGGTTTTGGCAAAATTCGCGCAGCGACAAATGCTTCCTATGTTACCTCTACCCTTTCTAACCTCTTTGGTATTGACATAAAAATGTTCGTTCTACGCCAGTGGCGTGACCCTGTCGTTACTAAGTGAGGTAGGTAAACAAAACATAATTTGGTTTCTGCGACTGTCATTGTTGCAACTTCAGCTGGGTTCTTCTCTCGTGAAACGGAGACTATCATCTGTAGGGGATACATATGTCTCTTACGCGTTCCTGCCCATGCAATTAGCCTATATTTTTTATCGGTTTCGCAACTAGGCTATCATTAATATATTAATAAACATCGTATTTTATTACAAATATAATTAACATCTCACCTTATGTAAGTATCTAGATAGATGACCAAGTAGGTACTTAACTGTTTCATATGATTTCATTGTGTATAATTTATAGTTTCTGTATTTACCTTGAAATTTGGAATAGTAAATATATTACAACAGAAGTGAATATGTATTTTGTCACAATTAACTGTTAACATTATCAAGTCACACCATTTGCAAATTTTAGGCAAGTCTTCCTCAACTATTTGTTTAAGTAGGGTCTTGTGCTGTATAAAATAACAGAGTCATCTGTAAAGCCAATGACATTATCAACAGATTGCAAAGAGGAAAGATCATTCACATATATATTAAAAGAGATATATCCTAGAACGCTACCCTGCGGTATACCATAAAGGACGGTAAAGACGATCTCTAAATACATTTTGTATTCCAACAGATTGCATCCTTTTATTTAACTAACTACGGACTAGATTAAAACCAATATCTTCTAAAGTTTGGATTACATTGTCAAACGCCTTTGAACGATAAAGGAAAAACTCAACCAATCCTGGATCAGTGTTATATTCTTATTATTATAAAAAAACTTACTCGAATTTGGAAAATGTGTAGTTGGTAAGTCCATAAATTTCAGTATTTTTTAATTTAGCCTTGAAATTGAGAGCAGACGTGCCTTGTTCTAAGTTAATTTCTGGTATTATAAACGGTTCAAAAGCAGGCAGACCCAATTCTGGAATGCCCTTGGCTAAAAACGGCTTCACTTTTTCTGTGGCTTCAACTAGACAGCTATTCAGATGTTTGTCATACCTGTGGCAATTCGGAAGATATTTAGCTAAAAACAATGTAATTATTTAGAGAGACGTTTAAAAACAAATTTATCAGATGGGTGAAGTTAAAAAAATTGATTACAAGTACGATTTTCTCATAAAAATACTAAATAAACAACCACTACAACCACGGTTGATGAGTTAAGAGGAAGTCACTTTGTCCCTGGTAGATGTTCAATGGGTCAATATGGCTTAAGTGAAGTGTAGCTGAATTCACCATTGTTTTATTTTCACATCAGATGAATTAATCTAAAAAACGTTGACTAGGCTGCTGAAAAAAAATATACAAATAAAGTTGTTACTGGTGATGAAACACGAATCGAACTCAAGTTTGGTTTTTGCGATGATAATGCCCCAAACAGAGGTGTGAAGTGTGAACACCCGAAAAGGTAAAGATAAGTAATCAATATGTATTTTTTTCCTTTAATGTTGTTACCCAACAAACAATAAATGGCCGGAATATTGATGCTGGCCTTTTACTGTAATTGACGGGAAAATGAATGCGGCGAATAAAATTATAAAAGCCTATTTTTGGACTTTCGATAGTCGCCCAACGTTATGTTGGTTAATAATGACCATATGAGAGATAATGACCTCTATTGGGTAAAAGCAAGTTAAAAGGTTTTAACTGCTATTGATTTCGGACGATAATCAGCTAACAAATTGAGATTTCGTTAGAAAATAATTGGTAAAATCGTTTCAATAGTTTTAGTTTTAGGAAAGAATAAGAAGAAGAAGAAGAAGAAGACATAACATATAAATAATATAATAATAATAATAATAATACTCTCCCTAATTCACCCCCTTACGAGTGAATTTTAACCCCAAAAGCTGAGCTTGTGCGGGGAAAGGGACGGCTATTATTATTATTTGCCGTGGCGCTCCGGGGCGACTTAAAGATGATTGATGGTGCCATTTGACTAACAGGTTAGGAAAACCCGGAAAACCTCCCCCACCATCATCGAGACGGTAATGTATGGGCCATTTTTTATAATCTGCATGTCATATCAACAAATTGAATTTCTATAGAAATTGAATTTCTATTAATACGGTACACATCAAATTCTATAACGAACCATGAAATTTAATTAAAAATCCACATGGTCTGGTCTGGGATTCGAAGCCCAGCAGTCTGTGACACATAAACTTGCTTATAAATGAATATAAGCGCGTTAGACCGCTACACCACCGGCCCGATAAAAATTCATATATACCAAGGGCGGCTCCAGAAGGGGGCTATGAAGGCTATGACCCCCCCCTAGATGAAAATTCTTTCAATCAATTATTTTATTTAAAAAAATATGTTAAAGATGAAAAGGCTAATGTAATGAGTAATGATATACTAAATCTAGTAGATTTAGATGATCTGGATGCAACACATAAAACTGATGTACCTATGCCAAGGAGTGCAGCAGTAACCGTCGAAGAAACTTGTGCTTCAGTAATTTGTGATTTCTGTAGATTTTATCTTTGAATGCCAACATAATGAAAAATTAGTTTTGTTTTGACACATTTTTAAATGTATATACTGCATACAATTAGAACCATTTTTTACCAAAGCACTCGGGTGAACATCTAAAAATTCATTTAGAATAGCAGCAACAGAATTTAAAAACCAATTTAGAACAACAACAGGAAAAAGCAAGAGTTGAGTTAGAAAGGCAAATTAACTGAACTAGTTGAGTTAGAAAGAAGAATTCGTAGCCTATCTTCGATAAGCAACAGAGAAACTGAAAACACTACCTCATCTGTAATCGAACCAAGCTATATTCAAACCCAGTTTCACAAATCCTTACTAGCAAGATCATTACGTTTGACGGTCATGTAACATGGGAAACGTATCGCCTGCAATTTGAAGCTGCCGCTAGAGCCAATGGCTGGGCTGAAAAAGAGATGGCGACTCATTGATAGTGTCGCTGCGAGGACAGGCAGCAACCGTTCTACAGTCACTTCCTCAAGGGGAACCCAGTTATACGTCTCTCGTTCAAGCCTTGGTGACAAGGTATGGTCAGCAGCATTTGAAAAGGGTATTCCAAAGCCAGCTAAAACTTCGTAGCCAGAAACATAATGAGAGTCTACAGGAATTCGAGGCCGATATAAAACGATTGATTCGTCTGGCCTATCAACAGGCGCCCAAATATTTTCAAGAACAAGTCGGCATGCATGCATTCATTGATGGACTACCAGATATGCAGCAAGCCCTTCATATACAACATCACAAGATGCTGAGGGAGAAACTGCACAGGAATATGAAGCGGTAAAACTCATATCCAGATCTTCTCACGCCAAAGTGAAAAAAATAAAATTCCAGGAAAGTGAGGAGGCCACAGATCCTACAAATATGCAACGAAACAGCCAAAATGGAAGCAGGAGATGCTTCAATTGTAGAAGAATCGGGCATCTTCAAAGAACCTGTGGAAGCAGGGCTCATTCTATAAATCGAAAATCAGGGAATGATACCGGAAAATCATATAGGTCACGAAGTACAACAAGAAATAATTACAGCAGCTATGCGACCCGAAGAACCCATTTACCCACACCGAGCCGGCTTTCTAGCAATAACCAGAAAGTAAAGCATAGAAGAGGTCTCCATAGCAACGCATACATTCTCTCCGGGCGACCCTGTTTAGAAGGACAATGCCGGTACAGTAAAAGGCTCGAAGAACGAGAGATGCCGGTTGATAAAGTTACTCTTCGGGAAACCACTATCAAGCCAGAGGGCGACGAAGTAGAAATCGTCCTTGAAAGTTTGAGAAAGGGACAGAAGAAAGATAATGACTTAAAGATTGACAAGGGGGGTAGCCATGTGTGAGTTGAGGTAATTTTAAGGTGAAGGGGGAGAAAAAGTCCTTTATATCTCACAAGGAAAGTCAATGTTTAATTATTTAACAAAACATTGAGTGCGACCGGTTTCGAAGTGTCATCACTTCATCTTCAGGCTCGCCTAGTGGAAAGGAGAATATGTGGTGTAAGGTGTGTTAACACTTAGAGCAAACGATATATAAAATAGTAAAAAAGAGAAAACTCACCATACTCTCCATCCACTAGGGAATACTACAAAACAAGTTTCATCAAATGTGGGGTGAAATAAATTGTAAAATGAACAAAGTTTACAAGTAATAAAAAGTTAAAAATATTTGAAAAACAAATATTAGTCAATTGAAATAGTAAAATTTAAAATATTCAAGACTATACAAAACAAATCACATAGGTACATTAAACATATTAAAAGATAAGGCTTATTTTCATGGAGGAAGGATAATTAAGAGTTGCCGTTTCTTTGAAGAAATATGGCAACAGGTTTGCTTGCAGCGCCACCGGTAAGGGATTTGTCCAACTATTTCTCAGTCGGTAATATAGATACCTGCATATTTTATTTTATTTAAAAATTAGCGGGATTTTGTTTGTAGCTCTACTTTAATTAGTATAACTAAAATTTTGCATTTTTATTGGCATTTTTTACAACACAGACAAGCTGCAAGATGTAACAAAATGCCAATCAAAATGTAAAATTTTATGACCCATAATTTTAGGAAGGGTAAAATAATTTAATATAAAATAATTGTATTATCTATTATATCATTAAAACTAATTTATAATAAATTTTCTAAATAAACAATATTTTAATAAAACAACTAAAACTTTCTCTAAACTTGGGTAGGTAACAAAACACATTAAGGAGAACCATCCATATAATCTGAAACAGAAAAAATTCAAAGTAGTATTTTAACTTCATATCATTTTGAATCTCTTTTTTCTTTTAGACATTGTCACAGTTTTATACTTTCATTATAATATTTTATAATTAATAATGGTAGTCCCTTCATCTTTTAATTAGATGTAGTACTTTTAAAAAAACAGATGTCTGCGGGATCAAGCTTTGAGGTCCTTCTTTGATTCGCAAATTTTACTTTGCTGTTTTCTAATTATAAAATAGAGTTTTTTCTCCCTTGGAGCTAACCATTCACTGGATTGATTTAAAAATCCAAGAGCTAATTATTGTTTTTTAGGTAATAATTATATTTCATTGGATGAAATTTTAATCGAATGTAACTTTCTTTTCACTGGTAATTTGTTTGACGGTATGATAACAATATTACTTTAGTATTACTCTTTACTGTTAATTTAGCTTTCAAGGGTACCAAAGGTAAAGCCAATTCACAGTCTTGTAACCTATAAATGGTTTTTCGCAAGTGGAATGATGAGTTTATGCGGCATCATTTAGTTCCTTGCTTAAGATCGGAAGGAAATAAAAAAAATGTGTTCTTAAAATGTACAGCATAAATTGGACAGTAAATTGTACTATTTACCTTTATACAAACAACGCTATTACAATTAGATATTATGAATTTATTACGAACAGGACCTGCTAAACAGATGTTAAAACATCAAAATATCTTTGCTTAATTTTAAATTTAACATGTTTAACTAAAACTAAAATGAAATAAAAGTAAAAGTACTTACCACGTTTTATTCAGCATCAGCAACCATAACCATATTGTTTTGTTCAGTTTTGTTATTGTATCGGTTCGAACGGGTGATAATCCCAAAGTCAGATTTACATTGTACAAATAATTGATTAATTCATGTTTTTCAAATAATTGTAGTATTTATATAAATAAATAATTTTAAAAAAATACTTACCGTGTATTACTTTTGTTATTAAGCGAAATATATTTGAATTATTCAATTATTCAGTGTACTTTAAATTTAAATATCATTTTATTATTGTAAAACGGACTGATGCGCGGATGTGTTGCGCACTAACCTGTTGATATAACGCGCATATGTTATAAGCCCCCCTGCTTATTTTAAACAACCTTGTTTTTTCAAAAAACTAACATTTTTGAAAGGAGACCTGTCAAGTTAAGGCCTCTACAGGTGGTGGCAAGTATTAACAAAAAAAAAAAAATTCTTGGGTAAACCCATGACAGGGTATAGGTAATAAGATGTAAACTATGAGTGAAGAAATATTTATTATTTATTATATAAGATTTGGGCCATGAACCAATCACCAAGTGTATGTGATGTTGTAGGAAGAAGAAAGAAGAAGAAATGACTGGGTTAACTGTTGTGAATCAACTGAAGAATAAAAGAAGAAAAGAAGAAAATGACGGATGTGAAGTCACACAATCTAACCTAATATTTAAACGTGCTCGTTGGTTTCTTACAATGACATATATAGATTAATAGACTGCTCATCCATATATAAACAAGACGACGAAAAGCGGGTCATATTGCTTGGCTTGCCGAGTGCTCACCAGGCAGAATCGGTCTGGCCCAAATGAGTTTAAAACACATATTTCATCAAAGTATAGGAATTGAATTAAAAAAAAATATATATCTGTATGTTTATTTCAAGACAGGAGCTTGCGTTAGGTATTTTAAAAAAGGATTTTGAGTCGTAACGTCTAGTTTCCCAATTTTCAAAACATTTTAAGAGATCTAACCAATTTTGAACATAGATATAAACAATTTTACACTCATGTGTATATAACTAACTTTAGACCATGACTACTGTATAGTGGCACTATTCGGACACTTGATTATTCTTTTAAAATTTATTTCGCATTATAAAAGCAGATATTATGCAAAAATTGAATGAACCTTTTAAAGATTTAAAGTTAGTGGCTTTTTCACATTCTAAAGTTTGTCCCTTTAGACAATTAAGGATTATTTTGGCGGTGAATGTGAATGATTTAAAGAATAATAATAAAATTCCATCAGTGGAAATCTGATCAACATCATAGTAAAATGGACTAGGTACAAAGTGCAATCTTAGTTGACGTCAAGATCCGTGTACCTTAGCATCGGTAAGAGGGAAATAAAGATTCTGACTTACAATCACAAAAAGAACCTACAACTAAGCTTAGTCGATGTAAGTTAGCTCAGATTAGTGGTAAAAAGAAAGCGACTATTAATAAAAATAATAAAAAGAAAAGTAATCCAGCTAAAACAAGAATTATGGCTACTGTCTTTAATAATGATATGTTGCCAGTACTAGTAGAATGTTAAGTGTTGAGTTATCTTCTTCAGGCAATGGATGTACGTATGCATAATTTAAAATGTTTGGTTAATTATTATTATTATGTTTAATGTGTTTTTGCAGTTAATGAACATATATCTACTACTGAAGCAGATAATGAAGATTTGTGTGCTGCTGAATAGCTTTGCTTAATTTACAAAACTTTGTTTAAAAGCAGAAAATTGGGGATCGATTGTTCAACACAAGTGAAGAGTGGTGATTTAGTTGATCCGTTTTCAAACAGAATTGTTAGTGCTAAAGAACTATCTACTTTAATAGGATTGCAATCCTTCCAGTTATTAGCCACCATTGTGGAATTAGTAGCAGAGTTGTTTCTAAAGAATAGGAAAAAGGAGATCAGTTGTGTCTGTAAAGGATCAAGTTATATTTACTTTTATGAAGTTGAAAACTGATATGCAAGATATAATGACTTATTCGTTTTATTTGGAGTGAATGAAACTTTTTGTCGTTAAATTTTTTAACAGTTTTTAATAAAACTGGTAGAAGTTCTTAGTATGGGATAATTCGGCCTTCAAAACAAGAAATATTAAATAATGTGCCTCTATGTAAGTAAGAGTACTACTACTTGATTGTACCGAAATCCCAATACAGCAAGCCAAATGTCTTTGTTGTAGGCTAAAAAATTACTCTGACTACAAAAAGAGGCATACTATTAAAATATTGACTGGAGTGTCACTTACTGGTCTCATTACTTACAAATGTGAAGCATGTGCTGGTAAACTTCAGAAATAGACATTTTTTAACAAAGTTCAATACTTGAAGTGTATGAATCATTTCTCGATAGTAAAATGTTTAACCAAGGTTTTCTTATTGGAAACATAACAGAAGCTGAAGGTAAACAAATTATACAGCCTCCTTTCCTCAATAAAAAAAATCAGTTCAGCCATCAAGAGGCTTTACTTAATGCCAAAATTGCCAGAGCTAGAATTCACATAGAAAGAACCTATCAAAGAATAAAAGTGTTTGTCTCTCTCTATTGGTACTTATGTCCGTTTTTCTTCTATTTATATTGAGTTTTTATTATACGATACTTCTCTGTATCTAACTAAGTTTATTCCGGGATACCGGAACGAGAGATTATTCTTTTAAAAAATGGAAACTGCTAGTTACCATTCCGTTTACTATTCTGAATATAACTAAAGCTTTATCAGCTCGATAATTAAATTTGGAAAATATAAAGAGGCAACGGTTCACACCATCGTCAAATTGTATGAGCAAGAGTATTCAACTTGGGATATTGTACACTTCCCATTTGGTTAACACATTACAATGATAGTAGCCACAATGTTGTCTTCTCGGTACATGGTTCTCCAAGAAAGTGATACATATCAAAGTTAGATTTATTTAAATGGGATACTCTGTATTTTATTTTATATTAGAATTGCACTCACTCGCACTCCCAATTATAACAATACCAAATAGTATGAGACTATGCAGGGTATTTCAAACGCTACAACCAGTTTTATATGAAAATCATATTGATTTCAATGACCTATATAGTGCAAAAGAAACAATTGAAAACCAATTTTTATTGCGGTAATAGGTTTTCGGTATTAGTCAAAATTTATGGCGATGCACTACGTTTTTCAATTAGAATCAAATATGTACAGGGTGAGTCAAAACTCAAATACATCATATTCGCTTTTTTTTTTAATTGACCACCTTGTATTTTATATTCCCATTTAAACATATTTTAATGAAAGTTTCATTTGAGTGATACATTCACTATACCTAAAATTAATAATTTTGAGAATTTTTTAAAATTAAATAAGAAAAAAGATAATTTCACTGAATAAGTTTTTGACAATATCTAATGCGACTTTTACATTAAGTAAAAAATAGCAACCGAAAACTTTACATAATACCTACCTACTTTATTCTAAGTTTATTAAGTGTTATTTTGGCAAATTTATTTATTTAGAAGAACTTATCTAAGTAGCCTTTAATTATATATTTATGGAGGTCTTAAGGTGGTTTTTAAAGGTCCAACTCACATTTCAAAGCATTTTTCGAAATACTTTCTTATTCACGACAAAATATCACAATAATATACTTTTTTTTTAAATAAATATTGCAATACTTATGACGTTAGTAATAACGAACTATCAGTATTGAGGTTTCAATGTCAACTTAAAAATATAATATACACTTAGAATAAAGGTATTATAATTAAGTGAACCTATGACTGGTTGCTATTGATAGATATTTATTTTAAACTGAATGTTAATCCTATTAGAAATTGTCAAAAACGTTTTTAGACGATAATAAAGTACAGCGGGTTAAACAATAATCACTTATTAACAAAAATACTATTTTCTGTTAACCAGTGACCAGTTAAAATTAAACTATTTTGTGAATTATTTTTTTGTCATTTAAATTTAAAAATCTCCTAAAATTATTAACTTTAAGTATACGGAATGCACCTTTAATTAAGGCACTTTTAATTGGTGATATAAAATACAGGGTGGTCAATTACTAAAAAGAAAAAATGATGTATGAGTTTTGACTCACCCTGTACATTTTTAATTCTAATTGCATCGGCATACATTTTGACTAATTTCGAAAACCTATTACCGCGAAAAAATTGATTTTCAATTGTTTCTTTTGCACTATATAGATCATTGAAATCAATAAGAGTTTCATATAAAAGTGGTTGTAGCGTGTAAAATACCCTGTATAGTCTCATATTATTGGGTATTGTTATAATGGGGAGTGCGAGGGCAATTCAAATATAAAATAAAATACAGGGTATCCCATTTAAGAAAGCCTTACTTTGATATGTATCACTTTCTTCGAGATCCCTGTACAGTTGAAATTATTTTTAAATTGTTGTCTTTTCTGATATACATCTTGCTGTGAACATAGATTTTTAAAAAATCGAATATTTTGATTCCACAGATCGAGGCGTTACCGGTGGCCCACCCTGTATATTTATTTTATGTATTTTTATTTTGTATGTATTACCTTGTAAATTATTATGTAAATGAGTTAATTATATAAATAAACATAAAAAGTACGTCTTATTTCCTATATTTTTTTCTGTTTTAAAGGACTACGCAAACTACGTCACTTTGCCAAATCTTAATTAGAATTTAATATTTATAATTTTTAGAATTTGATTTTTGAATAATTGTTCGCAAGAAAAACACAGTTTTAACACAATAAGTTCAAGGTCAATTGTTGTTTATAAACGACCAGATTACTTAATCCACTTAAATTTAAAATTTGTAAATTTATGTAAATAATATGACTTGCCTTTAGAATTTGCATTTCTGGCGACATGTTTTGCACTTTTCAATTTTTTCATTATTGGAAGAGTAATATTTTTATGATCTTATGAAAGAGGGAATTACGTAGAAAATGGAGTATATACCTACTGGGTGATTGATTCCACCTGGTTTTTGGAAAGTTCTTGATATATTGTATATTAAAGTGGTATTAGACAATTTCAAACTTCACTCTATTTGCTATTTTCTGCTCAACAATCTCTACCTTAACAGCCCTATGAAGATCAGTGTTGCGATAGTATCAAGATGCATCGACGATGTTCCTTAACAATGCAGGGATTAAGAAAAAACAAGAATTGTATTTAATTACACCAACAAATGCTCTGTTAAAATGTAATTTAGCGACTACATTGAAAACAATTAAAGAAATTTAATAGCTATTTGTTAGTCAAAAAGTAATGTGAATGAGATATTGGAAGAATGATTCCCATACAACCTCACCATAGCTAGATAATATATAAATAAACTACCATAATACCTAAAAAGCTGATACTAGGTAAATCGAAACTAACCCACATTGAAAAGACTACTTAACAAAAAAAAGCTCACATAGGTTATTCAAACGACCAATCCATGATACATTTTCATCGGTACTGAAACCTTTGACGTCTTTATTTTTAACATTTTTGTTATCACCTGTAAAACAAAAGCTACTTGTAAGAAAAAATGAAATCAATAAAAGGTGTATAACCACATAATACAATTTTATTGGAAGAAAACGAAATTATAAATCTAAAGTTACTATTGAGGCTACTGAAATTAAATTTAAATACAACATAAATTACTAATATAACTTTCAATGAATAAAATCTAATTAAAAAAAGAATAAAGATATATAATGCTTGGCATTTTATATTATTCACATCACAGTTTAACCCCCTATTTTTAATCAAATTTTTTTTAGAATCAATAGGCTTTATCCCCTTATAGAGCTTGATTTTTCTGAAGATTTCAAGTTAATTTGGTTTTTGTTTCTGAGTTTTTTTTTATTATTTAAATATCCCTTATCCCACTTATTGCCCCATTTTTATTCAGATTTGCTTTTACAGAATCAATACCCCGGATCTTGATTTTTACTAAAAATTTCATGCTGATATCACTTTTCGATTTTAATTTCTGATTGTTTTTTTAATTTCAATCCCCCTTAAACCCAATTTTTATAGAGATTATTTTTCAAAATCAATAGGTTTTGTCGAGCTTGATTTTTACTAAAATGTTCATGGTAATATCGCTTTTCGTTTTTGATTTATGATTTTTTTAAATTTCAACCCCCCCTGAATCTCCTATTTTTATTCATAGGCTTTGTCTTCTTATAGAACTTGACTTTCCTTAAAATTTCAAGTTGATATCATTTTTCGTTTCTGACTTATCGTGTGTACAAAAAACGTGATATCGGATGAACGACATACGAATGGATGGACAGACGGACCAACATTTTTAAAAGTTGTTTAAAATTTGATGAGAAGAATTTTGGTACAAAATATTTTTAAATTTGGATCGATATTAAAAATTTTGGTTTCTCGAAAGTGACCCCATAATACTCTTCACAGACTACTGTGTGAACCATCGAGAAAAGTGTAATCAAAATGGCGACTTATTTGAAGTCAATAATTTTATATTTGACGGAATGAAAACGTTTTTATAAAATTTAAATGAAGCTATTTAAAAAAAAATAACATTTATTCTCCCCAAAACGACTAGTACCACTATACTCGAGTTTGACTTATGACGTAAAAGTGTAATACAAAGTTGCGGACACTTTTACTATCTCAATAATTGTGTAAAGGGTATAACAATGTTTAAATGATTTTTTGATCGTAAAAATTGGACGTACCAAATTACAAATTTTATGTCTACCAAATGACATTGCCATCTGAAAATCACAATGTGGACAGACACTGTATGATGAATAATAAGCTAAATAAAAAAATATCTATTAAAATAGAAAAAAAATCTGTAATAAAATTATCAAATGGAAAATGACATGTTACGAAATAAAACATTGAAAATAATTAGCAATTAGCAACATTTGTTATTAATTAAAAAAAAGCTTGTGTAGTTTACTAACGATATAAATACAATATAAGTACTCGTGCAACTAATCATAATATTCAATTTAAATGTTGCAGAGGAAGTGAGACAGTAACAAACATTAATGAACATTTTATTTTCTAATTTAAATAATAATCGCATTTAAAAATAAAAAAAAATTAATAATCAATTTAAACCTACAAAAATGGACATAAATATATTATAATTTACATTTTAATTATTATTTTATAAAATTAAAACTATTTTAAAGATTTTAGGGTATTTAAGTTAATAATAAAAACTATCTATAGTACAATAAAACTATTTCCTTATTTTTTTTTCGAAACTGCTTATAAAAAATAACAAAAAGAAAATGTTATTGTATTTGTAATTGAAAAAACTTTCGAAAAATAAAAGATTAATTAACCATTAAAAAAAAAAAATTGGGGTGTCTTAAACCCCCTATATAATTAAAAAATAAACAAACAAAAAATTGACGTGTTTACGGATTTTTTCGACAAATCTTTATTTATTAAGTTACAGAATTTGTTCCAGTTAGACTTTCCATTCTGTAAAGAGGGAGTTAAAGTAGGTACAAAATCATCAATAACACTTTTTTAATTATATATACTAGGATATTGATTTTGGGCAAAACTTCATTTAATAGACACGGCTTAATCACCCATCAGGACAGGGATTATTATGTGCGTACTCAATACGTAACAAATCAAATAGAGAAAGACATTACATACAAATCACATCCTGTAGAACGAAAATAGTCGTCTCAACACGTGCCGTATTAAAAGATGAGAATCCCAATGCCACATACTTTGATTACTATACGGGGCAAGAGAGAGGTCCGACACGCCCAACATAGGGCGCGGCCATGGAGATTTTGAACCCTATGACACAGTTTATAGCTAAAGAATCAGATCGCTCACTCTGCGTCGGCACTTTTTATCTCAATGTTCCAGTTTATACACTGCGCAACTCAGATAATACAATATATGACAACCGCCTATAATAAAACAGCAGTCTTCTGCGTATCCTGAATTTGTATCCCTGGAGTGGATGTTATTTTGGAACTTTCAACTGGTCCGAGTGAGCTAACTGATTTTTTAGCAATAAACTGTGACTCCAAAAATAATATTCACTGACACTGACAGCAGCAAGCAAAATATCAGGTGCGTTTTAATCATCCGCTTCTGCTTCCGGAATTGTCGGTTCAGTCGTTCTAACCTGTCAGATTAAAACAAGAAAACCGGCAATTCCGAAGCAGAAGCGTATGATTAAAACGCACCTATTAAAAATATTGCGCCAAGATGTAGGCAACACGTAATAAGGGTTCAAAATGGCGGAGTTTTCTATCTTCTTTTAAAAGGCACTCAGAAAGGTGCGCAGTGCGACCATTCTCCGTATAGTAAAAGAAAATCAAAGTATGTGCCCAATGCTTAATTTAAATTATATAGATATAATATATTTTTTTGATAAATAATTTTGAAGTTATTTGTACCTAGTTAAATGTTTTTTCTTGTATTATTCAATTTAACATTGACTTTGAATATCAACTTCTTTTTTCATGAATAACGTAGATATAGGCAACACATTATACACTACTTATGACAAATTTTAAAGTTTTATATCTATCTATTTCTTAAAATAATGTTATCGTAGAAAAAATCTTGCGTGCATTTTGAGCGAAAAGTTCGTTGTCGCTTTTAACACGCTTTGTCTCACGTGGCAAAATATCACTTTTCGCTCTTAATACACAATAAGCTATTATTTATAACACAGTAGTGTTTTATTTTTAACAAAACAGTAAAAATATCGATTTCAATTAGCTTAATTTACTTTTGTAGTTGAAACTTATTTACAAATTCTCTTTATTTGAGTTCACTCATATTATTTAACATAATATGTGATAAAAAATGTGAGGTAGGTATGTCAAAAATGATGCTTACATGATTTTTCTTATCAGTGTATATTGCTTTTAAGTTTCTTGCCAAAATTTAAAAAAATATATAAACAGAGCGAACCTACTGTGGATTAAACACAAAAAGTCATAAGCCGTTGCTGGAAATTTCTTTTGCGTAATACTTTACATACGTACAAAATATAAGCTAATTCTGATATTGTGTCAACTAAATGAAATTTTGGCCCAAATCCGTAGCCTGTTTTTTATTTTTTTTGTTGATGGTTTTGTACTTACCCTAACTCCCTGGGGGCCGAATCGCTCCGTGCGTGACAGTAGCGCCAATTCATTTATGTATTAATGGACTATTTTTTCGTATACTGACAATACAATTTTTAATAGAATTCGTAATTAAAAAGTATATATGTTAGTTTTAATAAAAGTATATGGATTTGTAAAACAAGTGAAACATTAATTTATTTTTATTATTATTATATATTTTTATCGCCTAAACTAAAAAAAAAACTAAGTATAATCAATAAAAATCAATAATAAAATATAGGCAGGCAAGAATATTTACGGGAAAATGTATAAGAAGTTGCCTAAGTCTAATGAGTTGTCTTTAAAGAATTAACCTATTCTGTCAAAATAAAAAAAATACCATTAATAATAGCGTTGAAGGATTGTTGTTAATATTTTTATTTCTGTTCGAAAGAAAACATAGAATGAATGATTAAAACTGGTTTCATATCAGTGCTTGACTTCGCATTAAGCGAATGGGAATTTGTGACACTTTCCAAACAAATGAATTGCCAGTGGGAAGGTTTGGTATATCTAAGGGTTGCGACATACGATGCATTCTTTTGACTATACGTAAAATCATGAATAATAGATTAAATTTAAATATTTTATGTTAAACACAATAAAAATAAAATTTAAAAAATCAACCTATACATTTCTTCATAAATTGGCAGGATTGGCGACTACTATTTCGAATAAAAATGGCGTCCAAGATGTAAGACTATGTCTCTACTTCTTAGATATACAAGAACTTCCCATTGGCACCTATTGTTTGACAGGTCGTTAGGAAAATGTCTTAAATTTCCTATGTATAGAAAAATGTCAAAAATGTCTATAAAAAAATCCTACAAGTCAAAAATCGACCCCCTGTAGTTACTATTCAACTATTCATGACATACTCTATCTTAAAGTCGATTAAATTTAAAATGTATAATATACAGTACCATGTACAGTGTACCTACTAGGTAGTTGCTTGATAAATGTATTTTATACTTACGCAACTCTTTAGCTGCACTTGCACTTCGGTAAACTAAGATTAGGCAAAAAACCGCAAAATACACTTTACTACGAAAAACGATCATTTCTCAAGTGGAAAATATCCTAGTTTATACTATACTATGATGGTCGAGAGATATTTTGTAACTCTTGTAAATAATTAAAACGAGTTTTGTTAAAATCATTATTTATAGCAGAAAGTATGGGACTCAATGTCAAAGTTGGTAGAAACCAGTAGCTAGACGGCTGGGTATGGATGCCTACCATCATAAAAGTTGTATTATTGATCTAAATTGTTATAAATACGGTTTGAATTTATTTCAGCACAAGATTATATACATTTTATTTACTAATTTTACTGTATACTCTAACAAAATATACTTATTATTCGTAATAATAACAAAGCGTTTATTGTCCAACATAAGAATCCTTTTACAGGACAATTTAATTAACAATTATAAAAATATACAGGGTGAACCATGCTCGACTTCTATACATATCTTCAATAATTTTAGATTTATTTGACATTCTTTGAACGTGTATTGCAGTTCAAATTAATTAACAATTTTTTGGCAGTTCATTATAATCAGAATCTTTAAATTATTCAAAGAATGTACGTGGTGTTTGCAATTTAAAAGGTAGCAATATTGAGAAACTTTAATTTAAAGATTTTGGAACCGCATTGGCGGAGGTTAAAAGGGAAAATAATAATATAAACAAGAAATTTGAAAATAAAATAATAGAATTGGAAACTAAAGCTTTGAAAGCAGACAAAGTTAATCAAGAAATGGAAATAAGATTAGATCAAATGGATCAAGCAGTAAGAAGTTTTAGTCTCAAAGAAAAGCCAAATGAAAATACTAAAGAAGAAATAAAAATGATTTTAAATTCAAAAATTCACCTAAATATGTCAAATGATATTTTGCTGTGCTACAGGATCGGGAAAAAAGATGATGAATTAATTTCAAGGGATCTACCAACTTAAAACGGTTTAAACTACTTCTTTTAAGCGATATTGGTTACGAGCGGTTAATCCTTTTAATCTGTACGACGTCATGGATTAGCCCTTTAACACTTCATCATATTTGACATTTTCAACCGGAATTTACCACTCTTCCGAGTTGGGTTAAACTTGACAAATGAAGTGAGAGTAGAGAGAAGTTAGGTTATGTGAAAGGGAAAAGTGTGTTGTAGCATTCATAGGTAGCATTTTGATTTCTATAACATGGATGAGGAAAATGAACAATATTTAATTAATGTTAACGTTAATCGACATGACTATGAAGAGGTGGTCGGAAATTTAAACTTGGCTAACGTTCTCCTCAATGGTAAGAATAAGCAAAGATTTAAAACTAAATTTATATTTATCTTCATTTTGTGCTTCAGACAATGATGCTGCCAGAAAATACGTATTGGGTCTCTAAAAATTTTTTTGTATGCCTTGCGGAAGTGGAAAGAAAAATTGGAACGAAAAAAAAAAAAATTAACAGTGGTAAACTGAACAGAAACTAAAATGATTACACCCTATTACGTTTTTAAAATCAAAACAAAATATATTAAGGGGTTGCGGGGGTGGAAAATTTTGCACAATTTTTTTTATTTTTATTTTTAGTTATCAGATTCAAAAATCCCTTGTTTTGAGACCTGTTGCATTTCTTTAAGTAAAATTTAATATTAACGATGCACCCTAATGCAGATGTCAGGATTAACGTTTTCTTTTCCCTTTTGATGGCGTATTTCATCCTAACCGCAGTTAAATCGGAGGTGGAAAAGTGCTCCATTGAGTGGGATTTGTATTTCCTAGCAATGTAAATGGCTGTCCTAGGTTGTTGGTTGCTGAGAAAGCTAAAAATTGAACCATTTAGATTTTTAAGACCTAAAATTTTGGTTTTTATTATCCAGGATTCCAGGATCAAGGTGGCGGCATAATGTTGCCATAGCCACCCTTTTGTGCTGCAAGTTACATTGTATGATAGTTACCTCTTTTATTGCTTCCCGGTCTTCCGTTAAAAATTGGGCAGCAAGGTGGTTTTTTTATTCAACCATCCCTTCCTTTGAAAGTCGGGAGGGGGTGGTCTCTTGTGGCTCCTCGGAGTTTTCATGCTGGAGGTCATCGATTGCCATTTTTTCTGGCTCGACGTTGGCTTGAATTGGTGGGAAGAGGGTCCTTTACCAAGGATTCTTCACTGGGCCCCGCTTCAGCCTCTTTCTCGACCTTTGGCTTTATAGTCAATGAGATGAACGCATAGCTCATCCTCATTGATTTGGCCTTTAGGGTTCCCATGTCTTCGTCTTGGCCCTTGGGGTCTTTTTTTATTTCATGGTGGAAGGTGCACCACTTCGCCACATGTAAGTTTCGGTTTTGCCCCTCAAGTCGCCTAAGCACAACCTCCTTCTCGTCAAGGTCAGCTTGCGTTTCCCCTGAAATCCATAGAGAGACTTTGGTGAGCTTGGGGAGCTCGTCCATCCTTACAACAGCGAGTATTGCTCCTTCCCATGTTTTTAAGGTTGGTACCTTGGTTTTTAGTCATTCCAACGTCGGGTCATCATCGCACGTTACTCTGATGATTTCACCAGAGTGCGTCCAAGACCTGTAGGTGGGTGGCGTGGTTTTGCTGCAGGAGGCGGCAAAATTGTTTTGTCCAGCTCTCCCATCAATGTCTTTTTAACAAGGATTTCTCTTTCGGTAGTTATCTTACCGTAAGGGTTATCCTGGTCTATTATAGCTACTTTCAGGTGGCTCGTAGCTGCATCGTTGTAGCTTAACCCAGACAGAACTTTGTGGTCCTGTCTGGGTTTCTTCCCCTTCCGGGGCGTAACCTCGGAAGAGGTGTGAGATCGCGGCTTTTTCTTGTCCCTAGTTGCGTTGTGTTCCTGGCCTTTTGTGGAGGCAAAACTTGCGATGCTGCCTAAGGACTTGATTAAGCCGCTTTCGTTTATTTTGGAGTGAGGGAGTTTGCTGAGGGTGGCGGTTGCTGTAGCACTGCCTACCTGCAGCTTGTCCCTCTTCCTCCTCTTTGCTTCAGACCCAGAGATTCTTTTGCCTCTCTGAGGCCTGTTAGTTGGAGGCGAACTACTTTGTCTATCCTCCTTTTTTGGAGTTGGGCGTCGCTGTGCGTCCTGTGCAGGAGCTGAACTTTGTGGTCTAGGCTCCTTTGCAGGAAGTGAGCGTTGACGTCCACCCTCCTTTTTTTGAGGTGATCGTCGTTGTTCAGCCTCCTGCGCCGGAGTTGGATTTAGTTGTCCAGTCTCCTTTGCTGGAGGTGAGCGTCGACGTCCAGCCTCTTCGGGTTTTTGTGTTTCAGAATCCATATTGTTCCCACGAGTAGCTAGGGAAGGAAAGGTCGACCGACGCAAAGCCCCGCATGCGCCGGCAAGGCTAGATACAAGAGGGTGTCGCCAGGTTCCCTCAGGGGAGCGTTAGCTGCCGCTTCTGCCCTGCGACAATTCATCCGTAGGCACGTTACCTTACACCTTAGATTGGGGGAGTTGGTTCGCGGCGGTAGCCTTCGCAAAAGATTTTGAGGGTTTTTAGGCTCTCGCGCTCTACCTATGTCTACCACTAACCAAGAAAAACTTGGCTATTCTCCTATCCACAACCCGGAGACGCGCTCAGTTGGCACTCAACCGCTAAGACGATCGTTTCTATTCTTTGGGTTTAGGCTCTTCAATATAATACCCCTAATAGCACAGTATTGTTACACGAACGTTCCAGAAACATACCCTTGGGACATTAGAAACGTCTCTGTCATGTTTCTTATTCTCCCTCAAATGTACCTGGGATGTTTCTGGCAACGACGATGTCATCATTTGTAACGTATTAGAGACGATTCACAGAGATGTTTGTGGAACATTCTGCGATGTTGCTCAAACGTCTTAGGTAAGTTTTTTATACTATTGCTGAAACGTTCTTAAAATGACCTAAACGTTTTTAGTAGGATAATCAAAAAGCTATTACTTTTTTTACAAATTTATTTGAAAAATAATATATTTTGACACAAAAATAAAAAAGTTAATTATTACGCCACGATTCATTGCGTCTATTTCTTTCCGGAGCCCTCCACAACCAGTCATCTATTTTAATTTCCATTTCTTTTTTGTTTACCAATTTGCGGAATCTGAAAATGTTTCAATTAACTGACAATATAAACAATTGATATTAAGTTAAAATAATTACCCATAATGGCTTCAGCTATTTTTAACTTGGCGTCTTCTTTGTTTCCAGTGAATGAAACCAACTTACACAACTCGTTCCTTAAGGGGAGCTATGCATCTTCTGATACATTATCTAAAATACTTATTTTTAAAGTTAACAAATAAAGAAATAAATAGAATGTATAAAAGCCACATTTTGTTAAAAGAAATTAAGTTGCCTTCTTCCTTTTGGCTTGAATATCTTGCACGTAAAATGATTGTTTTTGCATTTTCCAAGCCTGATTAAACCTTAAATTAGAAGTGATTTTTCATGTAGCTTTACGTACAAACTATACACGTCAATCCGGCCGCCTATTATCACTTTTAGTTTATAGAGAAGTTGTTTATTACTTTTAAAACTTTTCCAAATTTTATTATAAGCGAGGCGAAACACCTTTTCATTATTTTCAACTGTCAACACTAATGAACTGTTTGTCATACGTCAATATTGTCATTGGATCATTATACGGTAGATGTGTTCGGTTAATACTCCGCGAGCAAATCAAATATGAGGTTTATTCCTTTTTATTGAAAATATCGTTCCATCCATACAATTTGTACAAATGTAACGATATTTTCATAAGTACTGTAGCTTAGTGCTACACTTTCAATGCAAAGAAATAGATTTCATCACGAGGACTTCCTTCAATAGTGTATTTTTTTAGCTCGCGGTGGATTAACCGAACTCTTCTGCTGAGCCAGAAGGAACGGTATATTCATCTCTGTCGTATTTGCTTTGCAATCTTTTTTGAAGAAACTAATAAAGATAAATTTTGCCTTTAGCAGTTGTCTTGTGAAATAAAAATATTGTTCAAAATGTAATACCTAAAACATTATTACGATGTTTCTAAAACGTTTTTGAGAAATCATTCCAGAAACGTTTCTTTAGAGACATCGTAGGGACGTACCATTTATGTCAGAAACATAGAAACATACATGGAACCTAAATGGGATGTTCCTGGCAGATCGGTGTTATTAGGGACAATTGCACCTGAAACAAATTATTAAATTAAAGCTGTTTAAAATCAAAATTAAAGATTATATATA